CCCCCTCTTTTATACAGGTCTTTCACACAATGAGACACAGAAAAACAATTCAAAAAAAGATACTATATGGTCATAAAAATGACAAGTTACAGGCATTACCTTTTTGTTACTTAAACCGAAAAGACTGGAAATTGACAATATCACACTGAGCACACTGTTCAGTCTAAGCTTCTGATTTGATCTTCTTTCATTTAAAATGTATTAGTGCTAATTCTGTATGTGTATATGGTAGCTGCCATGTCGGTAAACATAATGGAATCAAGACCTTTCATAGCTAAAAGCATGTTCTTTTTCCTTAACCTGAAGAACCAGACTTGTAATTCACAGTTGCAAGGATTCATATCTTCCACAGATGAAGCACAGAGACCTTCACTACACATACTGACCAGTGAGTTACATGTATTCCCTTTTCCCTCTGCACTTATCAAAATAACATTTTATTACATTTATTCAAAATATAAATTTCTTATCTTACCTTCAGATCACTTCCTGGCAAAGTACCTATGCCATCCTTCCAGTCCATAACACTAAATACATCAAACTCTTGGCCACTTCCACTTGAGGCAGATTCATTCATGATGCATGCACTGAAAAATAAATTGGAAATATGAAAATGCTAACAACAATTTGATGTTCAAATTCATGGACATTTTTTCAAGCATACTCTTTATAATTAATATCAAACTGCCCTGCACTCACACCCGCATTGCCCAAACCCTGCTTTCCAATGTGCTTTAAACATGAGTTAACATCATGAAACACAAGGAGAAAATCTTTTGGAATCCTTTTAAAAGTAATACCAGAAGTCTATCCACCATTCATTATTGAGGCTGAACTGGAGGGTTATCAAAAAATTTGAATTGTAAATAAGGTCTCATGGGAAAAAGTATCATTTTTTGGGAAGGCAAAACACAAACACAGTCTTTAATAAGTATGTTAAGAACTGATTAAGAGAACTAGCTTGTTCTTAATATCTAGGAATATGTTTAGGCAGGTTCCTTATCCAACTCCAAATTAAACCTCTTGCTTGAAATTGGCATAGTTTTGCTGGATGACTCAGGGGAAAAAAATCAAGTATTTATGGATGTGAAGATTCACAAAATATTTTATACAAATATATTTGATTATATACATTGCTCATACAGAGTGGATTCCTGTCTTACTGGACTTAATTTTACTAGATCTCTTTTTACTTCACTGTAGTGGAGCCAGAAGACAAAAGATCTGTTTACCTTTATAAATAATGGATTTCAATGCCCTTTCCTGCTGGAGGAGTTTCTCTCAAATCAGTAACACAAGCAATAACAGTTATACACCACTTGTCACTGTTCCCTCATTGTAAACCACTGCCCTTACAATCACAAAAGGGTCATCAGTTACATTCAACTGCAAAAAATGCTAGCAGCCATTTGTCAAGAAAGGCTGTTAACTTTTCCTCCTCTTGCAAACCTAAGAATATTAGCAGTATGGGCCTGTGCTTGATTTTGTCTGCTTCACAAGAAAACAAAGTCAATTTAAGTACTTCTGTGCTCTGCACAACAGCAAAATTAATAATTTGTAGCAGACATATTAGCTTATCCTTTAGTTTGCAAACAATTCCATTAGCAACTTATTTTTTCCTCAAGTGTATTTAATACTCATATTTGTATAAAATATTTTTGAGGTAAATAAACATTTTGAGAGTCTCTAGAATTCACTTCCTGCCTTTTGACACTATTTCACTTAAACTCTTCCTACAGAATGTTTGCAAACAGTTTGTTAAAATGATCAATATTTGAGCATCAAAATATTAGTCAGTTTTGTATTTGAGCATGTAGGTCATAAGGTACTGTTTCTATTCCCCAACTGTTTGAAAACTACTTGTAGAGTTACCTTGGCTTAAAGGTTCAAAACCCACTTCCTGCAAATATTCATCTAAAAAATCTAGTGTTTCCATAAATGCTAGTCTAAGCAAATTTATTCACTACACCAGTAACAGAAAGCAGATGGAAGAGAGGTGTGAACACAACCAAAGTTAATTCAGGTCTGCTGAAAGTTTCTAAGGAAAAAATTGAGAGAGAACAATGTTTCAAGACACTAAACTAGTTCTGCTATAGGAAAACTATTCCATTTCAGTTTGGGCTTTTTAATTTGTAAAATTAGTATGAGCAACTGCATTAGGTCAAGATTTTACATCTGTCTTTACCTTAGAACTGGACATGATACTTAAAGTCTCCACTTCTATGTCCCCAACTGTGATTGTAGCCTTTTCATTTCTACATTTCCCTCCAATTTTCTAACAGAAATGCTGTTAGAATTTGATTCTGCCACCCTTACCCTCTTGCCTTACTTTATTACAGTGTTTCCCAACCAATGTGCCGCAGCACGAAAGTGTGCCGTCAGAAATGAACAGGTGTGCTGCAAAATTTTGCCGTGACAATGAGCTACGATGAGCTACAATAGGTATGAGGATGGGGAATGCCTTAACAGGTGTGCCGCGGAAAAATTTTATTAACTTAAGTGTGCCTCGGGCTGGAAATAGTTAGGAAGCACTGCTTTATTAACAGTCTCACTGAAAACACACCACCAGCAAGAGACTGGGGGCATAATCAGGACCTCAGTGAGGAATTATCTTGCTGGGATCCTTTGACCGTAGCTGACTTCCTGCCCATGGGGCAGGGGGATGGACCCGATGATATTCCGAGGTCCCTTCCAGCCGGAATGTCTACGAGATCTATGAAATCTATGAATCAGTATCATGAAGAAAACGTGTGCGTTCATCAGACCCATGTGATAGATGGGGCTCAAAGATGAGAAAGGGGCGCCAAAGAGGACCTTTTGACAAAACCTTACATCGTTTTTAAACAACTCTGAATTGGCAAGCTGAAACAGATGATTTTTAAGAAGCTTTTCTTCACTTCAATTATTCTACATAAAAAGGTGTAAAAAATATGCCCTAGGTGCATACATAATTATTTTATATGTACCAGTAAACAAACACCATCTCAATATAAACTAAAAATTCCCAGACCTTCAGGAACTGTCCTTTGACACCCTCACCTTCAACATCCCTCATCTGAAGGTCAACAAATATGAGCTGTTTGCCTAAAGAAAAAAGTGAAATCCAAGGCTAAGCCCCACTAAGAATCCCATCTCCAACATGCAGATTTATCATTCAAGACAGACTCAGTGGATCCAAAATGTGACAACCATAAAGAAACAGGAAGTCTCTCAGAAAAACATGACCAAAACCCGTAAATGCCTAACTAACTTGGATTGTATCTGGAAACAAGATGAAAGCTGATGCCCTCGCCTTCTACATGAATGCCTTAGCTAAGCTTCTCTCTGAGCTGAACTTCCAGGTAATCATAAAATATCCCTTTGCTTAAAGCACATTGCGGTAATCCAATCTATAGGTTTATTTGTTATAGTGCAAGTTGTTCCAATTGCTCCCACTGAAAAAATGACAATGGAAAGAGGCCATAAAGATTGCAGCAGCTTGTTCCCTCCAGAGAGACAGCACCTTGGGTGAGAGGGTGACAGTGGTTACAGCAGTGTCCTTAGAGTCCACTTGTGCTACTCTCAGCACTGAAAACACTCTGTAACAGTGTCATTTGAAGAGAATGAGTTAGGGAAGAAGGAAACCTAAAACCTAAATCTACTTATCCTTGACATCTATTTAAAGAGAAAAAAGTAAAGAGAATATTGACCATTTAAGTCTATAGGGTAATGTTTGTTCTCCTCAAACAAGCCACATACATTTTAATTTGATTACCGCTATCAGTCCACTGCTGCCTAAAGCAATAATGAATACATTTTGTAGACTTGGCAGTTTGGCAAGAGTAAAAAATGGAGGGACCAAAAACATAAGGTTCAGGGTGAAAACCAACATTCATTATTGTTTTTCCTTCTTTTAAAAACAATGAACCTAACCTCATAGATACAATTTGTACTTTTACCCACTGGTTCTCCTTTCAGACTTCACGGCTGTCCTCTTTGCATGGTGAAAGAACACCAGGAAACAAATATTAGATTTCCCAGATATGGCTGCATTTCACAAAATATCTGCCTCCTAGATTTCTGGAGGCTGAACATGAAGAGTATTTGTACACATGCTTGTGCCACAGCACCGGGGCTGCGGTGCATGCATATGTATAAATGGTGAAATGCACGGAAGCGCTGAGAAAATGGCAGCAGTGTACTTTTGAACTAAGTCACATTAAAGGTATTTTAGTTCAAAAGTGCACCGCCACCATTTTCTCAGCACTGACATGCATTTCTCCATTTATACAAATGCGTATGATGCAGAGACACAGCACAGGGCACATCAGCTCACATGCAGAGCAGACTTGATTAATCAAGTCTCCTCCAATGCGCTGGATCTCCGGCACATTGGTGCAGACAAATTAATGTATATAAATGCCCACTGAGGATGAAACATCTGAGACTGGCAGGTCTAAACTATTTCCTCTACCCAAAATGGTAAGGAAAAAGAAACAGGCCAATTAAAGAAATTATGACAGGAATGAATAAAAGAAAAACAAAGAATAAAATCACATACTGCGCCTAAAACATAGCATATTGAAGGCTATGGTGAGCTTTATCTAATTTTCATTTTCTCATTCAAAGCTTTGATTTGTTTTATTGGAATAATACAACACTCCTTTTGCAAATCCTATCCATTACTTTATGAAAGAAATCAAAGATTAAGTAAACTTTGGCTGCAGTACTGCATCCAACTTAAGCCCAAAGCAGGGTGATATAAAAGTTAGGACACAGAATCAAGAGCTAAGTATGCCAGTTTTAAAAGCCTGAGCCAAAGTTTATTGAAGTGACATATCATCTGACCCCAGCACACTTTCCTGCTCAGGGCAGGGGGTCAGACTCAATGATCTAATAGGTCCCTTCCGACCCTGAAATCTATTAAATTTATTAAGTCAATGGGAACCCACCCCTCTTCTACTTGAGTAGTGTGTGCGCTCATAGGTCTTAGGCTAGAAATAGACCTTGCCAAATGAAGCGGATCAGCTGTGCCACAACATGTCATGGCACAGTTGATTCCTTTCACTGGGCAAAACAAATTGCCCCTTGTCTTGCCTACTGACTGTGTGGGACAAAGGACAATACATTCTCCCGGGGCTTTGGGGGCCTGATCCTGCAAACCCCAGGAAATCCCTAAGAGTGCCAGCCCAGCTTTACCCGCTTACCCAGACAGGTTCCTGGTGTTCCCAGAGCTGGGTTTGGTTAAGGAGGGAAAGTCTAGTTTTCCCTCCTTACCCAGACCTGTCCCAGAGTCTCTAGGGACCCACCTGGATAAGCGGGGAAAGTCAGGCTTTCTCCACTTGTCCAGACCTGCCTCTGGGATCTACAGGGACTCATCTGGGTAAGCAGGGTAAGTTGGGCTTTCCCTGATTACCTACACCACCATTTTTCAACCCATGGATTGCAACCCAAAAGTGGGTTGCCAGACTATATGACAAGGTCGTGAACAAACTTAAAAAATGGATCAATAAACTTTAAAAATGGATTCTCCTTTAAAGGAGAAAACTGTGGGAAACCATGGCTATTCCTTCACAGGCTGGCAGAGTTCCAGTCTGCAAAGGGATACTTGAGGCTCCCCACTCCCCACACACCCACCCACTGTACAACACACTGGGAGTTGGGGGAAAAGGGTAGCAGGTTGGGAGTGAGGGGCATCGGCAGGGCCAGGGGGCTGTTTTCTACTTAAACTATTTACTGGGCTGCAACTAGCCATCCATGTTTACAAATGGGTTCTAGTACAGAAAAGGTTGAGAACCATTGACCTAGACCACCCCAGTGGTCTTCGTAAGTGGGGAACGCTGACTTCCCCACTTACAGAGAGGTGCCCCAAGATACCACAGTCTGCCTCTCTGTAAATGAAGAAAGCCAAGCAGGTGCTCTGGGGCAACTGCCTGGAGCAAGCCAGAGACTGCAGGCTGGTCAGGCTGCCCACACTCCCCCACCACAGAGTTAATAGATGTTGGCTGTAATAAAGCGGCACAATTTATTACTACCTTTTGTTGCATCACTAATTTGCTTCTGATATGGTGCAACAAAGGGTAGGGACATCTATTTGCTTACCATTTATGCTGCCATAAAAATGTTTATGGAGGCACAAATGCGACACTGAATGATGTCTGTTTCTAGCCTTAGAGAAATTACTGTATCTATCTCAGTTTGCCATCTAAAAACATTATATCCATTAAAAATTGCAGAATCTGTTTGAAGCAGTGCTTTACATCTTAAACCTTTTTATATAAACTTTCTATTTTATACCTATTTAATATATTTTTAAAATACACAAGTATCTGAAATAAGACTGTTTGCTTTCTTTAGAAAAAACATTCATCTTTACCTGCTGAGACAATAAGAAATGCACACTCACAGAACAGTTACTTAATAGGAATGATAGAATTAAAAATTAGAGCTTCATTATTTGGGAAATTCTCCATTTAAATATTTCAAGCAAAGAAATAGGAAGGAATGTGTCAATTAAACCTACAAGCATTGTAGGGTTATGTTCTAAATGTGTCAGAAAGCAATAATAAATGGTGAATGCCAGCAAGTGCTTCAAAGTCCACATTTAAAAACTGTACCTGGCATCTACTTGCATTTTGATAATTTAAGCTATTATCCATGCAATTTACAAGGAAGTTGTAGATGTGATTTTAAACCAGCAAGTGGACCCAAGGCATCATGGATACTCAGCAATGTTGACTATAGACAAAGGATGTCATTTATTTCAAGGGACAGGCATCACTGAAATAACAGTGACAGTTGTCAAAGCTTGCTGTTACCGAAGTCAGAGTGACAGGAGATAATACACTATCCTGAGGAAAGTTAAAAAATCTGCACTATGAGGTTCTCAAAGCCACATGCAATGGCATCTACATTCCCACTATCAAGAGGGACCTCTCTCCATTGTAGTCCTCCTCCCGATACTGAATTGTATCATTGCCTTTCCATGGCCAGCCGATGCACAGCAGAACTTGGCCCAGCTGTCCGGTGTGCTGACCTAATGTAAAACTACAACAAACTGGAGTGTATTTCATATTTCCCACTCTTCAAGAATTTTCTTTCATTTTGTTTTGTGACTTAAAGGAACACCGTCAACTTGGGAGGGAGGAAAAATCAGACCTCTTGTTAAATTAAAATTGCTACAAACACCATGGTAAATTACTGCATTCAGAAGAGAATAAAAATACTTCTTTCTTGCAGTTTGCATCTTTGACAGTACTTTGTAAACATTTAGTTTCGTTATTTTTTCCTTTTTATGAAGCTTTTTAGTAGAGCAACAAAGGAGATTAGCCATTTAAAAAAAAGGAATTTATGATGGTTAAACCATCAAAGGGACTAAAGGGCAAAGAAAAAATTGGAAAATGTTAACTTGTTAAACTGACTACATTTCAGGTTGATACACTTTTAAATACTATTTCTTCCGATCTTTTTCTGTTCATTTTATTTTAGATATTTCTTCTTTCCTCTTTGCTGTATTCTCTAGGGGCACCTCCATATATATGTACCTATTTCTCAGCATATTCTCTTAAACTGTTTCCCCACAGATGGTCTCTAGCTGTCAGAAAAAATAAAGCCAATTTTTTCTGGTAGAGGTACATCCACACCAGGCCTAGTAAAGGGGTATGATGCTTTTGCTAGTACACCTACACTTGAACTGCTGCATTGCTGCTAGAAAATCTAATGAGAATGTTAGAAATCAGTTATTTACATGTGTTTGTAGAGCTGGTAAAGAACAGAGGACCCCACTCAAGGTAGCTACACAGGCACATAGCTGGTGTATGTGAATGCAGTCTAGAACGTGCAGGTGGTCATGCAGCCTACGTTAGTCTCCTACACTTTTTTAAAGTATAAGTACAGCACCATAGTAACAAGGCTTACCCAGTACAAAGTTATCCTACCAATGTAAGTCTATCACTGATGCCCCTTATTTTATTTACTGAGACCTTGTGCCCCAATCACAAAATATTTCATTTGCACTACTTGACCTGGCATGTGCTGTTATTGTCTACAAAGCCCTGCCTGAGTGGAAATTTAATCTGATCAAATCATACCTCCAAGTAAAATAGCTTTAAATCCTGTTCATTAGTTTTTCGTAATTCTTTGCACCAAATGGCCAAGTTTTATAGTAAACTTCTGCCTATTTCTATTTGTTCCCTCCCAGAGGTGGTACAGTCACCCACCCTAGCAATCTTAAAAAAAAAAAGCCTCTTGATGCCCACCTTGCTGGGGTCATCTAACCCCAGCTGTCTTTCCTGCCCAAGTGCAGGGAGGCTGGACCCAATGATCTGTAAGGTCCCTTCTAGCCCCTAAAAACTATGAAACTGAACTCTCTGGAGTGTGGTTTTTGAAGTTCTGATACTGTACTTTATCTTAGTTATATGAAAACTTCATGTTTAGGACACATGAAAACCCCACAGATAATTCCACTAAACAATTATCTGGCCATTCCCCCGATAGATTAATCACTCCTTTTCCTCTTTTGCCCACTGTGACCATTTCATATCTACCACTGAGTGGTTAATTATGAGTCCCAAGCTCTCGGATCTTAACAGTGACTCGATTATTGAATTTATAAACTTTTCCTTCTGCCACATAGTTTTCAGCAGCCCCCCGCTTTTGAAGTGTTTAGCCAGTTACTGCACAGATTCAATCACTCCCTCTGTCTTCAAAATCACTGTATTGTATAGTCATTGATCCTCAGAGCCCATCTTCCCTCCGCACACCACTCCTCTGTCTTAATTAGGAATGGTAAAAGAGACGGGCAAATGGATTAACCCACAAAAGAAAGTCAGCCTCTCAACCAGCAAACCTCCTGCTCTCTGCACACACAACAGGTGATGTTCAATTAAACTCAGCAAGTCAGAGGAAAGTAGATGTTCAGCATGCAGTCACTTTTTATACAGAGAAAAGGTCTCCAGACCTTTAAAAACACGCTTCTGGATAAAAGAGTTCCTTGACTTAATGGGTGTGACCTGCCACAAGCAAGCAAATTAAGTTTAAGCCAAAATTCATAGCAAGTAAAACAGGCATCCCAAAGACATGACAGCTCTATCAACAAGTCACTTGCTCCAGTCATTAAAAAAAAACCAGACTGTACAAACACAGTTGAAGATACACTGCCAAGAATGCCAATAACCCCAAGCTGTCAGGGTTTAAATGAGATGACTTACTGACTTCCATCTCTCTTTTCTCTTGGGTGGAAGTTAATATTAACTTAGTCAGCCAAGCTTCTGGGAATCAGATCATTTTCCTGTGTCAAGGAATTGGTCTCAACTGCATTCAAAGTTGCTTTAGAAATGCTTTTTCTGCTTTTCCAGATTAAATTGGGGGGGAGGGTAAAATCAAGGTTTGTAACAAAAAGTGGATTCAAAATCTTACCCACTTAAAACACTGGTTGCTGCCTTACAAACCCTGCTACGCACCGAGGACTGAACAACCCTCAAAGCGGCCAGGGTGCCCGAGGGAAAGGCAAAACCTGGACTGCGCTGCACGAGACAAATAGAGGAATCAAACTCACTTCCTAGTCCGACCTGCTGCTAACGGGCCCGAGCCACCACCCAAAACAGCCGAGCCTCGGAAGGGATGAAAGAACCGGGGCCTTCCTGGCTGCCAGGTACCTTCAGGGCCCTGATTTGCAGGAAGCGCCGACACCCCGCGCCTCGAGGCACTGCAAACGCGCTGCTTGCAGGGCGACCCGCGGGGCAGGGCCCCGCTCCTCCGGGGACTCCGGGCTCGGCGGGGGGCTGGGGACCCACCCGGGCGGCTCCGCGCCGCCGCCAGGGGTCCCCCAGCGGCCAGCTTTGGCGCCCGGGCTTTGCAATTATTAGTATTATGTTTTGCTGCCGCTGCTGCTGCACTTGAAACTTTCCGGAGCG